GGTTTCTGATATAGGCTTTGCTAGGGTTTAGGGTTTGTAAGGGGAAGCCTGAACCCTCAGAGCATTGGGTTTAGGGTTGAGGAGCCTTCCCATCTGAGAAGTTCTAAGGGCCTTAGGGTTTTGTACGCGAAGAGCCCTAAGCCCTAAGTCCCAAGACCTAAGCCCTAAAACGCCGTAAACAGGTTCGGGCTGCAAGCGGGATCTAGGGAGCTTCGAGTTTGCCAGTACGTTCTCCTCTATAGGCAAAAGGCCCTCTACCCTACACACCCTTACCCCTTAGGGTGCCGATCCGCCCCAGTACCGCAGAGTTTGGGGTGCAGTGTAGATCCCAAACACCTCTCCCTAACCTCCCCGACACCTCTCCCTAACCCTAAGCCCTGTAGAGCTCCAAACTCTGAGGTCATGGAATCCTGTGCTGCCCCCCCCCCCACCTGGTTCGCCCTGAATCATAAGCCCTCAAACAATCTCAAGCCTACTATAGGGGATAATTACAAATGGTATTGCCTTGTGGTCCCTTTAGAATTATACTATAACACCCCCCAAAACCCAATTCTTAAATTATTAAGGCCCCTATAGTATGCCTCGGCAGACCTTGCCTTTTCATGCCACAGACACCCGCCACTGCTGTCGGAGCCTTTACATCCGTTGCCGTATGATGCGCTGGCAGTTTGAATTGGGTGCTGAATTATCCTGCGCAACCCCACGACCTCAAGTAAGCACCCAGACCTGGGGGGGGTGCAGGGTTTGGACCTTCAAAGGGCCAGCTCAGCGCTGCTGCGCGTAAACCACCGCCTGCGATTTGTAGTCCGGGTCCAGGTTCTTGAGGAGCAAGTCATGGATCAGGCGCTGCTCGTTCTCCCCGTTGAAGGAATGGCCGAGCTGCTTCAAGCGCATCACCGTACCTTGGGGAGCAACATGAACCCTTCAAAGGTTTCATTATGGTTCATATACCTTAAACCTGGAAATTCTAGTAGTAACCCCGAACCCTAAACCCCAAAAACCTAAACCGTTCTTCTTTAGTCCTCAAGGTACTGGAGGCTGTCTCGGCAGCACCATGCACCAAAGTGCGCTTGGCGTCAACTTGTGCCACAGCCTGCTGCCGTGCCAGCATGGCTGTGGCGATCTGCGGGTCGTACTTCCTGGTTTAGGGTTCCCTGTACTCCTATATTCCCTATTGAGGGCTATGAACCATAAACCTTTTTTGAGGGATTCTTCACAAAGCCCGAAACCCTAGACCCTAAACCCGAAGCCCACAGGGTTAGGGCTTAGGGTGTGGGCTTTTGGGCCTGCTTAGGGTCTGGGGTTCATGTGTTTAGGGTTAGGTTTAGGGGGTTGAAGGTTTAGGGATCAGACAAAAAAAGCCACGAACATCTCTTATCAGCCACGCAGCAAATCGGTGAGCTGGAATCTCAGCACCTGTACTCCGGCGCTGGCCACGAGCTTCTGTAGCTCGAAGGCCAGCATTTGGCTCGTGGACCTAAGTAGCCCAGCGGGTTTAGGGTTTAGGGTTTAGGGTTTAGGGTTTAGGGTTTAGGGTTTAGGGTTTAGGGTTTAGGGTACCACTGGGGCTACTAAGGGACTCACCACGCAGGTCGTTGTAGTGACTGCGCGAGGCCACTGCGCGAAGTGCCATGGGGGCCATCTCAAACGCATACTTCTCGGGCTGCGCCGTGTCCACCGTGGCCTTCTTGGCCGAGACGATCTTGTAGGCAACATTGCCGCTGATGTAGATGGGGTTTCCATCCTTGTCTGTGACACTTACCTCGCGAATGTCCAAGGTCTTGCGGGCCGTGCTGATTTTCCGAGTTGCCACGCCGCAAGGGTTGACGATGTGGATTCCGGGTTCGTTGATGCTTCCCACGTACTTACCCCACACGAGCACGGCCGCCCGCTCATTCTGCTCAAACCTTGGGGCCAGATGATCCCTAATTAACGCTTGGAATCGACACTACTCTGGTTCCTGTCACAGGGACCTAAACCCTAAAACCCTAAGCCCTAAACACCCCAAACCTTAAATCCTAAACCCTAAACCCCAAACCCCAAACCCTCAACCTTCAAACCTAAACCCAAATGTCCCAAGGGACATCTTCAGGGAGCAGACCCAGAAGGGGAAGAAGACGCACGAGAGGGCGGCGCTGAGCGCGTCCGGGCAGCACAGGTTTGCCTCAACATCCATCTCCTCCTCACTGTCTGGCTCCTCCTGGGATCCAGGGAAGGTGTAGGGTTTAGGGTATAGGGGTTTAGGGTTAAGGGTTCAGGGCTAGACCCAAGAGTAACCTAGGAACAAAAAGGCACCCTCTTTGGCTTTAAAAAAAGGGGCTGATCAGGGAGCCTACCCCCCCCCCCCCCCAAAAAAAAAAAAAAAAAAAGGGAATAAGGGGCTACACTGGGCCCTAGGTATAGGGCCATTTTCTTAGGGTAGTTGCATGGACCCTTGGTACTTCGCAGTTTTCACGCGTGAAAGTTTACACGAGCTGGATTGGAGGTGAGCCAAAACCACCAAAGAAATCCTGCCCTAGACCCTAGACCCTAGACCCTAAACCCTAAACCCTATAAACCCTAGACCCTAAACCCCCACAAAAGCCCCAGATCTTGCCGCCCGAACGCTTCAAGCCCTGCGGCCTGGAACCCCAAAACCCTCAACCCGACACTCCAGCTTCTCTAGACCAGAGTGACCGCTACACCAGCCTCCGTAAGGTTTGGGGTTTAGGGTTTAGGATTTAGGGTTTAGGGTTTGGGGTTTGGGGTTTGGGGTTTAGGGTTTGGGGTTTGGGGTTTAGGGTTTGGGGTTTAGGATTTCCGGTTTAGGGGGACCAGCCTCCGTGAGGCCAGGCGCCATGCTATATTGAGCTGGCTTCGCCATGGCTGAGATCTTGGGCCGGCTGAGCTTTGCGCCTGGTTCTGCTGCGGCAGGTCGTGTTTTGCGGGGTTAGGGTTTAGGGGATAGGGTTCAGGGTTTAGGGTTTGGGGTTTGGGGTTTGGGGTTTAGGGTTTAGGGTCTACATGGGGTTATGCGGTTCTTATAGGACATATCGGGGTTTGGGGTCTATAAGTTGTGTCAGCTTCTAGGCTATGTGGTGTGGGGCTTCTGGCCATGCAAACCCTTAGATTAGATGCTCACTGAACAAGCTCCTGTAACGCCCAGTAAAAACTGTAGGGTTTAGGGTTTAGGGTTTGGGGTTTGGGGTTTAGGGTTTAGGGTTTAGGGTTTAGGGTCACACCCAGTAAAACTAGACAACATGGGCGTTGTGCTTGTCAGGGCATATCCCCAACACCCCAGACCCTACTAACTAGAGCTTGGGGGGGGGGGGGGGGTTATTCTATAGTCTTCAGTCTTAAGATCCTACACCCTAAACACACCATACACCCTGCACACCCTATATACCCGATATACCCTATACACCCTATATACCCTATATACCCTGTACACCCTATATACCCGAACTGTCATATATACACGGTATACCCTATAATTAAACCCTATATACCCTATATACCTATATACTCTATATACTCTATATACTCTATAGACCCCAAAGCCTAGGTTTCATGGACTTTGGATGCGGAGGTAGGGGACCGGGGGTTCAGGTCAAGGGTTTAGGGTTTGGGGTTTAGGGTTTGGGGTTTGGGGTTTAGGGTTTCCGGGGTTTAGGGTTTCTAGGGTTTTGGTTGGGTCTAGGGTTCAGGGTTGCATGTCCCTGTCCCGAATCCCAAGCCGTCAGCATGCGCTCTCACAAGCATGACAGCGGACACGCAGGGTCTATAGGGTTTAGTTGAATTAGGACTTGGGAGTTGTAATACTTGCGTTTAGTGTGTTTAGGGTTTAGGTTTAGGGTTTAGGGTTTAGGGTTTAGGGTTTAGGGTTTAGGGTTTAGGGTTTAGGGTTTAGGGTTTAGGGTTTAGGGTTTAGGGTTTAGGGTTTAGTCCAGCCCCATGCTGGCTGCCAATCGGCTGCCCATGCGACCTATGCTTCAAGCAGCCGCGCTTCCTACTTGGAGGATCGGAGAACTTAGTAAGTTGTTTAGGGTTTAGGGTTTAGGGTTTAGGGTTTGGGGTTTGGGGTTTAGGGTTTAGGGTTTGGGGTTTAGGGTTAGGGTTGTCAAGTATGGCTATTCAGCTGGAGAACAACGATCTTCCAACTCCAAACAAACAACGCCTCCAACTCTTGGGGTAGCTACATGGTCCCTTAAGATGGGCCCTTTTGGGAACCCTTACATACAGCTTATATACCCTAACAGACCCGGGGGCCCATACTTCAGAACCCTTTGAAGAAGGTACTGGACATTAAGGGGCCAAACCCAAGACCTTAAATTACACGTCGAACCCGAAACCCAAAAATCTGGGGATTAGGGTGTACTTGGAAGCTCTTTTGACTTAGTAAGTCTACTTCGTATCCCCTAGAAACCCCAAAATAATCCCCATGAACCAACTTGGGGGCTGAAGGTTCTTAGGGCTTTCGGGCTTTGCAAGGCTGAGGGCTTAGGGGTTCCCTAAACCCTAAACCCTGAACCCTAAACCCTAAACCCTAAACCCTAAACCCTAAACCCTAAACCCAAACCCTAAACCCTAGGGGTGTAGGCTTTTGGGGTCCAGAGTCTCGGGATGTGGGTTTCAGGAATTACGGCTAAGATTTGGTCGTAAGGGCTTCAGTGCCTTGAGCTTCGGGCTTCGGGCCCTGAACCCTGAACCCTGAACCCTGAACCCTGAACCCTGAACCCTGAACCCTGAACCCTAAACCCTAAACCCGAAACCCTAAACCCTAAACCCTAAACCCTAAACCCCAAACCCTAAACACAAACCCTGAACCCTAAACCCCAAACTTTTCCGTTACTGACAACAGTTGCAGCTGCTGCAGTCGCGGCATCTCTTTGTGCCGGGATCAATGGCTTGTCACGTGGAGGTTCATGAGTGCACATAACTGGGGCTCTGCTTAGTGGCTTAGCTGTGGTCATAAGTTGTAAGTGGTGATAATCTTGTTTATGGTACATGTAAGTGGTGATAATCTTGTTTAGGGTATGAGGAAGCCAACTACTAGCTACCCGTGAATCTCCAAGTCTGGGGCCTAGGGTTTTCCCGGGCCCCCAGTACCTACTCATGGGAATGCATGAAACGCCGTCATCATTTGCAGGGTTTAGGGCTTAGTCCCTTGCAAACTTTGTCTCTTTTCATTTTTCTTGTCATGGAGCAACCCTAAACCCTAAACCCTAAACCCTAAACCCTAAACCCTAAACCCTAAACCCTAAACCCTAAACCCTAAACCCTAAACCCATCGTTGACTTGACTCCTTCTCCTAGGCCAAGGCCGGGCACTCCGACTCGGGAGTGTGGCAATACTCTAAGAAATATTCAAGATGCCCCTTGAGCATACCAAAAAAGGGTTTAGGGTTTAGGGTTTAGGGTTTAGGGTTTAGGGTTTAGGGGGTAGGGCAAAATCCTTCCATATAGTCTCCTTTTATAGGTTAAGGGGTATGGGTTTGGGGGATGTTGAATGGTTCTTAGATACGCGTAGTCGCGCGGGGCTTTGTTACATGCCACGTGCTTTTGGTTCTCTACCCTCTCTTTTTGTTTTTTGTTTGGGGGGGGGAGTGAGAACCAAATTTCTTGCTTATGGGGTTACGGCTGAGGGATTACCTCAACCGTAATCCCTAAACCCTAAAACCCTAAAACCCTAAAACCCTAAAACCCTAAAACCCTAAAACCCTAAAACCCTAAAACCCTAAAACCCTAAAACCCTAAAAACCTAAAACCCTAAAACCCTAAAACCCTAAAACCCTAAAACCCTAAAACCCTAAAACCCTAAAACCCTAAAACCCTAAAACCCTAAAACCCTAAAACCCTAAAACCCTAAACCCTAAACCCTAAACCCCAAGTTGCATTGCAACACGTCACATGTAATTTGACCTTGAATTAGAGGACTGAAACGCCTTTGCTCTTACTCCTTAAGCTTCCGAGGACATTGAGTACTAAGGCAACCGAAGCCAGAAAGTTGAAAACTGGAGAAATGGGGAAGCAACCCTAAACCCTGACTTCCTAATCAAACCCTACTGAAATGCCAGCATCATCCAGATACGGGCACTCACGGCTGCCGCGCCATAACCGTTGCCTGCGATTTGTAGTCTGGGTCCAAGTTCTTGAGGAGCAAGTCGTGGATCAGGCGCTGCTCGTTCTCGGCAGTGAAGGAATGGCCGAGCTGCTTCAAGCGCATCACCGTACCTTCGGTACCAAGAATCCCTCAAAAAAGGTTTGTGGTTCATGGCCCGCAATAGGGAGTATAGGAGTTTTAGGAACCCTAAACCCTCAACCCTAAACCCCAAACCCCAAACCCTAAACCCTAAACCCTAAACCCTAAACTAGCCCTAAACCCTAAAACGTAAACCCTAAACCCTAAAGCCACCCAAGGTACTGGAGGCCGTCTCAGCAGCACCATGCACCAAAGTGCGCTTGGCGTCGACTTGTGCCACAGCCTGCTGCCGTGCCAGCATAGCCGAGGCAATCTGCTTGTCGTACTTCCTGGTTTAGGGCTCCCTATACTCCTCGACTCCCTATTGAGGGCTATAAACCATAAACTTTTTTTGAGGGATTCTTGGTACCGAAGGTACCAGCATGGGCGATCATCTCCTATGACCCCTTAAAAAAGGTCTTCCATAGGGTTCTTTATGGGGATTATAGGGCCTCATAGCCCATCCTGGTAGAACCCGGAGCTCCGGAGAAGCAAAAGTCAAAAGGAGACACATACACTCGCATGATATAGGGGTCGGAAGAATTATTAATCGTGTTCCCTTAAGGTCCCTTTATATTCATACCATAACAACCCATTCTACGCAGGCCCTTAATATTACTCTTCAAACGAGGTGCAGATCGGTGAGCTGGAATCTGAGCACCTGCACGCCGGCGCTGGTCACGAGCTTCTGGAGCTCCTCTGCCAGCATCTGGCTCGTGGACCTGAGTAGCCCAGTAAAGGGTTTAGGGTTTAGGGTTTAGGGTTTAGGGTTTAGGGTTTAGGGTTTAGGGTTTAGGGTTTAGGGTTTAGGGGTTAGGGTTTAGGGGTTAGGGGTTAGGGTTTAGGGTTTAGTAACCATATTATGACAAGGGCACCCTTTTTTGGTTGGAAACTTTATAAGGGAACCCATACCCCCCAAAAAAAGGGGTAAAGGGTACCACTGGGCCACTGCAAGGGACTCACCGCGCAGGTCATTGTAGTGACAGCGAGCCGCCACCGTGCGAAGTGCCATGGGGGCCATCTCTGACGCATACTTCTCAGGCTGCGCCGTGTCCACGGTGGCCTTCCTTGGGGACGAAATGAACCCTAAAAGGGTTTATGGTTCATATACCTTAATAGGAATTATAGTAGTAATGGGTATATGACCCCAATTTAAGGGTTCATTTGGTCCCCAAGGTTCTTGGCGGAGACGATCTTGTAGGCGACGTTGCCGCTAATGTAGACGGGGTTTCCCTCCTTATCCGTGACGTTTACCTCGCGAATGTCCAAGGTTTTGCCTCAGGGGTCCAAGCGACCAGTGAGAATGGGATCATCTGCTACTACAGCCCCTGTTCTGGACCAACAAACTCAACCCTTTCAAGGTTCACTATATCCAGGAGCCGATATAACCACCAATAGTGTCCGCTTATACTCTCGACATTTGCGATAGTAACAGCTAAGTTAGCTAAGATATCTAATTTCGCCCAAATACGAATTTCGTCTCAACATGCCACTCTATTCTTACTGGCTGACTTCCCGAGCCAAACCAAGGAAAACCCCACGTGGGGTTCTAAACAGGGTTCTTACGACGACGACGACGACGAGGACGAGGACGAGGAGGACGACGACGACGACAGACTACACCCTACACCCTAAACCCTAAACTTGGCCCTAAACTCTAAACCTTAACCCTAAACCCTATAAACCCCATAAACCCTATGAACCCTATACGCCCTATGAACCCTGAACCCCATAAACCCTTAAACAAAAAAAACAAGCGAGGCTCCCTGCATCGGTCTCCGAGGTGCGTGCCGTGGTGATCTTCCGAGTGGAGACGCCGCAGGGGTTGACGATGTGGATTCCAGGCTGGTTGATGCTTCCCACATACTTACCTTCGGGGTTTTCAGGGAGAGGCTTTGCAGTATAGGGTTTGGGGTTTAGGGTTTAGGGTTTGGGGTTTAAGGTTTAGGGTTTAGGGAGCTCGGGTTGGGATGTTCGCCTTGTACTGACGATCCTTAGTAGGGATGATAGTACCTTCGGGTTTTAGGGATGAGGCTTGAGGCTTTACAGGGTTTAGGGTCAATGGGATTCAAAAACTAAGGCTTCCATACGACTACTATGATAGATTCAAAGCATAGTTCAAACATTCGATCCTAAACCTTATACAGACACTAGTGATCCGATAACAAGAATGCCCCTACAGCCAAAAATGAACCCTTAACCCACAAAACCTTACACCCACAATCCCCATATAGGGTATCCCTAAACCCTAAACCCCTGAACCCCAAATCCAGCAAAACCTTACGCACATAATCCGCATACCCTCAACCCTAAACCCTAAACCCTAAACCCTAAACCCTAAACCCTAAACCCTAAACCCCCTATTGGATATGCTCATGTCGACTCCAAGGTGCCCCACACGAGCACGGCGGCCCGCTCGTTCTGGTCAAACCTTGGGACGACATGAACCCTCAGCTTGGGTTTAGGGTTTAGGGTTTAGGGTTTAGGGTTTAGGGTTTAGGGTTTAGGGTTTAGGGTTTAGGGTTTAGGGTTTAGGGTTTAGGGTTTAGGGTTTGGGGGGTTTAGGGTTCAGGGTTTAGGGTTGAGGGTTTAGGGTCTAGGGCCTTATACGAACAGTCCTCAATAGGGGTACGACAATCCCTGTTATGTACTGCTAGTATTAGGGGGAACATCCCAATAAACGGACCCTTTTAACCTTAAGCCGTCCTGGGTTCATTTCGTCCCCGAGCAACATCTGCGTGGAGCAACACCAGACTGGGCAGCAGACGCAAGAGAGGACGGCACCTGGGCGTGCGAGTAATGTAAGTTTGGTTTAGGGTTTAGGGTTTAGGGTTTAGGGTTTAAGGGTTAAGGGTTAAGGGTTAAGGGTTTAGGATTTAGGGTTTAGGATAAAAAAAAAGGGCGCCCTGTTGGTTGTAAGGGAACCTTAGCCCTGTTCTCAAGGTTTAGGGTTTAGGGTGTCGGGAGAATGGTTCAGGGCTTAGGGCTTAGAGCTTGGCTGTACATTGGCACCTGGACCTGGCTTGCACATAAAGTTTTGGCCACCTTACTGCGATGCCCATTCAGCACGAAAAAGCTAAGGGTTAACGGTTCCAGCAAAGAACCACACAAAAGGGCACTACCGATCGCCCTAAACCCTAACCCTAAACCCTAAACCCTAAACCCTAAACCCTAAACCCTAAACCCTAAACCCAGGGGTACTACTGCGCATCATGGGCACTGAGGGGATGAGGGCAGCAAAGGTTGGCGTCCACGTCTATCTCCTCTTGGCCTTCGAGGTCGGTGTCCTCACGTTTAGGGTTTAGGATTTAGGGCTAGGGTTTAGGGTTTAGGGTTTAGGGCTAGGGTTCAGGGCTTAGGGTTGAGGGGTTTAGGGCCTTTAGGGTTGAGGGGTTTAGGACCTTTAGGGTTTATATAGGGCTTTAGGGGTTTAGGGTTTAGGCCCGACGCCCCCCCCCCCCCCCACCCCCCCCCCCCCCCCCCCCCAAACAAACAAAAACAAAACACAATTTTCGAAAAGAGGACGACAGCAATAGGTCGGAAGCCTGTTCACACACCTAGGTAGTCAATGCACCTTCGCTTTCACCCCATAAGGACTGAGTGGGCGATTCGGGCTTTCCAACCCCTAGACCCTCTAAAGCCCAAAGCCCTGAAGTTTAGAGTTAGGGTTTAGGGGTTTGGGGTTTAGGGTGTAGGGTTTTGCAATGTTTTATGTTTTAGGGAGCTTAAGGCCCTGAAGCCCGCTGAAACGGAGACCAGCATCCATCAGGCTCACGGCCATACTTTCTTGAGCCGGCCTTGCCATGACAAGGCTTCCCGCTCTCGACATCCGAAGCTGTGATGTACGGCTGCGGATTTGGGCTTGACAGGGTCCCAAAAAAGTTGAACTCTAAAGCCTAAAGCCTAAACCCTAAAGCCTAAAACCTAAACCCTAACCTACACCTGAGTAAGGCTGCATGTTGACTATTCGGCTCATGAGCGTAGCCAAAGAAAGTTCGACCCATCCTTTCCTCAAAGTCGCTCTTAAATTAGGTTTTAGGGCTTAGGGCTAGCTGAAAGGTCCCGTAAGTGCGGGACTGCTAGTATAAGACGGAACATCCCAACGGCCCTAAACCCTATACCGCCTGTACCCGAAACCCTTACATACCGTGCAAACTTCAGAACTCCCTGAGAGAGCTAAAGGGGCCATGCTACATATATGACACCCTTTTGATAAACTTTGATAGCTTCTTTTTAGGGATTCAGATATAGGGCTGAGAGCTTTGGCCTGCAGTTTTAGACGTTTAGGGTCGGCTTTAGAGGTTTGGGGTTTAGGGTTTAATCCGAGCATCTGATTAATTAATACCCCCACATTTAAAGAAGATTTTTTGGCCGGAAGCCCGCCGGAAGACTACTTTCCATTAGGGTGGATTTCGTATGGGACAAACCCCCCACATTTAAAGGAATTTTTTTTGGGGGGGTTCAAAAATCTGTCGGCATGTGCTTGCGGAGACGCAAAGCTACAGCACCTCAGGGATCTGCATCGTATTGTTTTTAATAGAGAATCAATACAGGGCCACGGTCCAACTATTGCGGAACCCTGCATTCCTTATTGTGAGGGGGGGGGGGGGGGCCCCCCACCCACTAATCAGAAGCTCGGATTAGGGTTTGAAAGCTTCAGGGGCTTCGAGCTGAAAAGGTATAGGATTTATACCTGAAGGCTGCCGTATCTGGGCATGGCACCAGCTCATGATGGGGCTATAAGGCCCGTGAGGGGATTCATATTCGGCCATTACAACCAGTCAGTATGCCCCTTGAACCTTTAAGTACAGGATGTGCGGCTTGCCCTACACCCTAAACCCTAAACCCAAAACGCCGCTGCAAGTCTGAAACCAGCCTGCATCCTCAACTGAGCTCCCAAAGGCCGTGAACCTCTGAGGTCCCTTAATTTCCTCCTGTGCCCCCCAAAAAACCCACAACCGAGGGGTTAAAGGGCTTAGGGTTCTATTTGGCGCCCAGCAAGTAGGGTTCCAGTTTATACACGTTCTAGGCACCCTAATGTTGACTTCACATTAGTGATTCCCGCCGCAATTGTAAAATCCCGCTGCCGGAACACAATATTGTAACCCGCCACAATTGTAAAATCCGACCCGGGAAATCCGGTTTTTACGGGCGTGGTGCTACTACCTAATACTACAACTAATAGTACGTCCTACCAGGATTTAGGCGAACATTATTGAGGAGGCCCTGGCCGGAGAGATTGATCAATGAAGGGGGGGGGGGGGGTTATTAATGCGAAGTCAACATTAACCCGACTAGCCAAGGCCTCTGACCCTTTAAGTGGGGTCTAGAGTCTAGCATTTAGGGTTTAGGGTGCTAGGTCTTTTAGAGTTAGATCTCGCAAGACCTGAGCCCTAAACGCCTAGAATCTGAGACCCGCGCAGAAGGTCGGGTGCTTCTCGCAGTCCGTGCGGCACCCCGCAGCTTTCTCGGGAGAGGCGCCCTTGTGGCAACATGTTTGAGCTCAGAGGTTCTCCTGTTAGGGTTTATAAGGCTCAGCCTCTCCAAGAACTCCGCAACCACCCTTAATAGGGCGCTATAGGGCCGTCCGTAGCAGGTAATTATAATCGAGGGATCTGCATTAAGGGCTGTCTTACGACGCACCCTTTGACAAAAAACAGAAAACACATACACAAACTGAATAAATACAGTAACACGATGCGGCTTCTTGTACTGGGTGCAAGCAGACTCTATCCCGCACCCGAAACGAATCCTGTAAAGCCTGTAAAGCCTGTAAGGGCCCTAAAAGGGGCCCTAAGCCCTGTAAGTTCCTCCAACAACCGAGAAGGGTTTAGGGTCTAAAGTTTAGGGTTTGGGCATTAAAATTAGGGCTTAAGGCTCGAAACCACGAAGAACTCAGACACGAAGCAGGGGCAACCTCTCGGACGCGAAGCACGTCGCAATCCCTGAACTCCAGATTTCAAGTGGCTCGCCCTCGCCCAAAAAAAACCTATTTATTGTTATAAGGGCCCGTAAACCCACTGTAGTGCATGATTTGAGTGTAGGTCTATACCTTTTTTTTAGGTACGCAGGCCGACTCTAGGCAAGCACTCTATACCCCCAAGCCACTGAATCCTAAAGCCCAACCCTAAACCCTAAACCCTAAACCCTAAACCCTAAACCCTAAACCCTAAACCGTCATGACGGCACGGAGACAAGAGACGCTGCCTCTGGGCAGAAGGCCTGCTTGCGGGCATGGTTTTGGTCAATCCTATCCGGTTAAGGGTTAGGGTTTAGGGCTATGTAGGGTTTAGGGTTATTTAGGGTTTAGGGTTTAGGGTTTTTTAGGGTTTAGGGTTTAGGGTATTTTAAGGTTTAGGGTTTAGGGTTATGTAGGGTTTAGGGCTTGGGGTACACCCCCTCGCCCACCCCACCCTGACGACCATTTGGTGGGCCTTGTTCTGCTCTACAAACCATCGTGGGTAGTTGGAGCAGGGGCAGCTTAAGATCTCTGACTTGGGGAGGAGGAATGGGGGGAGTTTTCAAGTGCTTGGGGACGCCAGATTCTCTTGGCTTTGGGGTTTAGATCCTCGGCTCCAAGGGGCTTGTAGTTGTAGGGTTTAGTGTTTAGGGGATTTACAAGGGACAGGTTTTGAGATTTTACGACAATAGGGGTACCTTAATGGGGTCCTCTCTTGGGATCCTACTACTTGGGTCTCCTTGTCCTTTTCCTTCTCAATGACGAAGCGCTCTGCGTGGGGTCGTTGGATGCTGAGAAACGTCTGCACCCACTCGGTGAGATCCCGGTCCTTCGGGTCAGGGATGTCAACATCACCAGTGAAGGCTGCCAGGGTCTTCAGAGCGTTCGTCGAGGTGCACACCTTGATGAAGTCAGAGGTGTTAAGGAAAGTTCCCAGCCACTCAAACGCAAATGGAGGGTCTTTGTGCTGCGCGATCAAATTCGCTGCCACCATGTCATCCATATCTTACTTCTTCAAAAACCAAGGGGACAAAAAGGTTAAACTTGAATGTTCCTACTGAATAAGGAAGCCCATTTTTTTAAAGTTCAACTAAAGGCGAAGTAAGATATTGGGCGTCCCCTATGTTCGCAAACCCTCTCTTAAACCCACAAACCCTAAACCCGTAAACCCTACACCCAAAACCCCTAAACCCTAAAGCCTCCTAAACCCTAAACCGTGGTATAGAGGCTCTCCCATTGACGTTCATAGGTTTTGGCCTCCCCCAATAACCCTCACGTTTGACAAGCATCGGAATAGAGCGGCCTGGAACCAAAGTCGAGTCGCCTACCGTAAGGTATTCAGGGTCACCCTAAACCCTAAATCCTGAACCCGAAACCCTATAGACCCTACACCCTAAACCCTAAACCTTAAACCCCGAACCCCGGAACTCTAGTTTTGGGCGGCCACAAGTTGCTTCTGGAAAAGGATCCCGTCACAGGAGGCGCAGGGACATAAAGGGGCTAGGGCCGGCGGCGCCCCCAAACCCAAAAGGAAACCACAATCAAGACAGTCTAACCAGCCCGAAACTCTCTTTCCCAAAACTCCCAAAAACCCTAAGCCCTAAACCCTAAACCCTAAATCCTAAACCCTATAAAACCCCTTCTGCCTGTCTGCAGCTCAGGGATGCCGCCACCTCCTCGACGTCTCCAGTGGAATTCACCTTGGCGGAGTCAGGAGGCAGGGACGGCCCTTGGGGTTTCTGTAGGTTCAGGGTTTAGGGTTTAGGGTTTAGGTGTTTAGGTGTTTAGGTGTTTAGGTGTTTAGGTGTTTAGGTGTTTAGGTGTTTAGGTGTTGAGGTGTTGAGGTGTTGAGGTGTTTAGGTGTTGAATGGTGTTTAGGTGTTGAATGGTGTTTAAGTGTTTAGGGTTTAGGGGTTTAGGAATCCGGCTTGCCCAGGCTCACACGCCACTTGCATAACGGAACACAAGTGCAGGTATGGAGAGACAGCGACCGATAGGGAGAGAGAGAGAGAGAGAGAGCGAGAGCGAGAGAGACATAGAGCGAGAGAGAAGGAGTCTGGAATTGTCACTTGTCTTCCGCAAATGTCTATACTGAATGTACTACTCTTCTCCATGATCCATGATCCCATCCCGGAGCCCACTCCTGTTTTGAGTATTGTAGAGGTCTGGACTTTGAGAAGTCTGACTCTAAGGTTGGAATCATGGGCCCTTCGTGTGGCCCCTTACCCTTGCTTGTAGGAATTCGAAGTATGGGCCCACACTATCTATCTATCTATCTATCTATATGTATGTGTGTATATATATGTATGACATCCAAGTGTTTGCATGGGGTGGTCTGGAGGGTTGGGAAGCTGCCACTGCCGGGGGGGGGGGGGAAGGAACATCAACAGACGCAGGGGGTCTAGTTAGGGGCTAGGGTTTAGGGTTTAGGGTGGGTTTATAGGGTTAGACCCAGGAGTAACCCAGGAATCAAAAAAGGGTGCCCTTCGTTAGAGGAGATTATAAGGGAACCCAACCCTAACACAAGGTAATAAGGGCCTACTCTGGGTCCTAGCTAAGACTTTGGGGCACGAAATGAACTCCAAAAGGGACGACGGTCCATACGTATCGTTAACAAGAACATGAGACACATGTCAAAGGGCTCCTGTGACCCGATACCCTCAACCAAAATAACCCTGACCACAATAAGACGCCAAACCCTAAACGCCCTAAACCCTAAACCGCACACCCTAGCCCCTAGACCCTGAACCCGCCCTTATGTTGCATAGGATATGATAAAACAAACCAAATAATAATCCTGAACCCTGAACCCTAAACCCCAA